ATGCTTATTTTTGGAAAAAATTCAGAAAAACCGATTTTCACTTGAGCGTGAGTAAAAAAATCTACTCTAGAAATTTAGTGAAAATCGAGTAAGCAGTTCAGTGTCTACAAGATTTCTAAACACAGGGTCCTCTGTTAGGTCATTCTGAATTAGAATTGATAAAGTAAGCAAATTCTATAAGTAGTTTCAACCCTGTGGAGCCACGCCCATATTTCATATCAGGTGCGTATATGGGAAATATGTATCTCAGCTTCTGAAGGTCTTAGAGACTCAAACTTGAGTTTAAAATGACCGCAATGACCATGTTTATATTAGTACTATGAAGGTCATGAAAGCCCAAAATGCTTATTTTTGGAAAAAATTCAGAAAAACTGATTTTCACAAGCAAAAAATCTACTCTAGAAGTTAAGTGAAATCGAGTGTAAAGTTCAGTGTCTACAACGTTTCTAAACATAGGATCCTTTGTAAGATCATTCTGAATCAGAATTGATTAGGTATGCAAATTCTATTAGTAGTTTTAACCCTAGGGTGCAAAACTCCTAAATTACCCCCAGGCGCAAATATATGACTTTTCTATCTCGGCTTCTGAACGTTGTAGGGGCCTCTCTTTGAGCTCAAACTAACTACAATGGCCACATTTATATACCGACTATAAAGCACAAAGCAACTTAGGGTCTATACAGCTTAGTTTTTAGAAATTCATTAAAAACTTTTTTAACCTCCATGCATCATCCCTAGTCTCTACCCAGCTACCACCAGTGCGTTATGATTTTAGATCTTTCTAGCAACCTCTGATATGAATGCTACCTCTTCCTCTATCCAGCTACTATACCACCAATTCCAGCTGTTTTCACCTACTTCGGCTACTATCTCTTTAGCTACCACCAAGGTTCCTCCAACTTCTGCTATTTCTAGCAATCTTAGCTTAGGTTAGTGGACTACTTCTTGCCCTATCTAGCAACCATCAGAAAAATGTCCTCTTCCTTAATGAGCTGGAAATTGTTGGATGCAGCGGAGGTAGCACTCATATCAGAGGTTATAAGATCTAAAATTATAACGTATGGTGGTAGCTGGGTAGAGTTGACCTGGAGTTAGCAGAAGGCAGCTAGAAGTAGATTCTGCTACATGAGGTTGGATTCAAGTTGATTAGCCATAAAAGCCGAGCAGTACTGGAGAGAGCCCCAGAGAGGGAGCTGAAGGCAGCCTTCTGAAACTGAGTATTTTCGCAGTTATACCAAAATTAAAGTTAGGTGGTATGTGCTGCTCCATAAATGTTATCCTAATGTGTTTATGTTGAACGTTTTACTGTGCTGCAAATATCTTTTTAGCCCGAGATATCATTATTAAGTACATGTTTGATCATATTACTATTTTATGATGCATGAAGGTTAAAACAGTTTTTAATGAATTTCTATAAACTAAGCTATATAGACCCTATGTTGCTTTATAGTCGGTATATAAATGTGGCCATTGTAGTTAGTTTGAGCTCAAAGAGAGGCCCCTACAACGTTCAGAAGCCGAGATAGAAAAGTCATATATTTGCGCCTGGGGGTAATTTAGGAGTTTTGCACCCTAGGGTTAAAACTACTAATAGAATTTGCATACCTTATCAATTCTGATTCAGAATGATCTTACAAAGGATCCTATGTTTAGAAACGTTGTAGACACTGAACTTTACACTCGATTTCACTTAACTTCTAGAGTAGATTTTTTGCTTGTGAAAATCAGTTTTTCTGAATTTTTTCCAAAAATAAGCATTTTGGGCTTTCATGACCTTCATAGTACTAATATAAACATGTGTATTACGGTCATTTTAAACTCAAATTTGAGTCTCTGAGACCTTCAGAAGCTGAGATACATATTTCCCATATACGCACCTGATATGAAATATGGGCGTGGCTCCACAGGGTTGAAACTACTTATAGAATTTGCTTACTTTATCAATTCTAATTCAGAATGACCTAACAGAGGACCCTGTGTTTAGAAATCTTGTAGACACTGAACTGCTTACTCGATTTTCACTAAATTTCTAGAGTAGATTTGTTTACTCACGCTCAAGTGAAAATCGGTTTTTCTGAATTTTTTCCAAAAATAAGCATTTTGGGCTTTCATGACCTTCATAGTACTAATATAAACATGGTCATTGCGGTCATTTTAAACTCAAGTTTGAGTCTCTAAGACCTTCAGAAGCTGAGATACATATTTCCCATATACGCACCTGATATGAAATATGGGCGTGGCTCCACAGGGTTGAAACTACTTATAGAATTTGCTTACTTTATCAATTCTAATTCAGAATGACCTAACAGAGGACCCTGTGTTTAGAAATCTTGTAGACACTGAACTGCTTACTCGATTTTCACTAAATTTCTAGAGTAGATTTTTTTACTCACGCTCAAGTGAAAATCGGTTTTTCTGAATTTTTTCCAAAAATAAGCATTTTGGGCTTTCATGACCTTCATAGTACTAATATAAACATGTGCATTGCGGTCATTTTAAACTCAAATTTGAGTCTCTAAGACCTTCAGAAGCTGAGATACATATTTCCCATATACGCACCTGATATGAAATATGGGCGTGGCTCCACAGGGTTGGGGCTAGCGACACAAAATTCCCCCCTCGGTGATTTGAGTTACCAATGACCTATTTAACCCGATTCAATAGCAAAAAACTCTGTACATCGAAGTGCACACTCAACACCTCCCTGCTACTGGAGTATAATAACCACATCACATTTCAATATAATCTCGGAAGTCGCCAAGCGCTTTAGTTGCGCTGTTATACTTGTAATTTAATAGAAATGTAATTGAATAAGAATGTAATTGAATAAAAAGAACGTCGAATTCTGTATTAATATACATGATGAATATTCGACATTTAATACTTGTTCTGGTGCACACGATGCAATGATCGAATGTTAGCTGTAAATTCAATACAATTAACGGACCTGACTGAAACCCAGACAAGTTAATCCAGTTCCAGGATTAAGTGCACTATCTCCCCACTTTCTACTATTGTCTCGGTATATTCTTATTACCACTAATACCATTATTACTTCTTGTTAAAGAAGCTTCCGTCGTGTCCTGTATAGTACCAGTAACAGTGCCAGTACATGATTGTGTACATCATTAATATTAACGGTCCTAGAGGCTACAACTCGGCGCCTTACATACAGTAATAATTGGGAAACTAGTCACATAATTCATTATGAGTTTTCATAATGGAAAACTTGTCCCATGATTTAAACGATTTCTCGTTATTTTCTGGGAAATTTGTTACAAAATTCAACATAAGTTCTCAAAATTGTCTAGGTGGCTTTACGGCTGGTAGAGATGAGAGGTGGCAAGCTTTCCTAGACTTCCTGGGACATCGCCCGTTGTTATATTGGAATTTGGCGACGTGAATCTTATCTGAAGGCCGCAAAATTGCTTCTATTGACTACATATATTATTGACTACCCTCCCTGGTATGTTTAATGCAGATATCAAACACGTACCTGAGAGGTACGGGGGAGGAGGGGTGTATTTCACGGTGAGTAGTTGCGTAAAGTGCAGGATTTGTAACTTTAATTTCATTACGTCGAGTTACCCTTATTAAAAGCTAATCATTATGTCCGATCAGCATTATAATTGAATAATTGCTTAGATGATCCGTCAAAAATAAACCCCGGATCGAAAACTGCGGTTATTACGATTCTTATCAGGAATTTCGACTTTTGTCTTAGATAAACACTGTACCAGGAGTATGAGCCTAATTTTCTACTTATACAGGACATCTATCACACTATTTGATATATCTATAGGTGTAGTAAATTCTTTTATTACGGCATTATGAACGAAATGTTTGTTTAATTTGAATTCCGCGATGGCCAAGCGGTCGAAACAGGAAATCTAAATGCAATGATAAGTAAATAATACGTAGCCTTTATCGGGTTATTTGCAGTAAATGCAATGACAAGTATCCACTATAGTGTTACTTTCATTTAGGTTGATGTAAATACTTTATTTGATACTTTATTTATTGATACCTCTGAAATTACGTGACGTTTTAATAGGATAAGTTGATAGTCCGAGAACTATCAAAAACTTTGATTTATTGTGAATACCCACTTAAAAACACATAATTTTACTTAACCGTAAGTGCTCACTTTTAATGATAAATAGACCTTATTGGTCCAGTAGATTTGAATTATTTTCAGACAGTCCAATACAATACAAGTGCAATTACAGTACAGACTAAAGTATACACTATACAACAAGTAGGGAGAGAAGGAGGTGCTGCAAGTAATTGTTATTTCCCATACAGTTAATTGGCTAATTAGCTTTATTAATTGGTATTAAGTACCTCATTTCCGCAGGGTATGGGAAGACTTTGTAGAGTAAGTTTGGGAGGTACACTTCAGGGATTATTGTAGACTAATAAATAGTCTAGAGATTATTTTAAAATATTTAATTGATATAGGTTGGTTTAATAGTTATAAACAATTATTTGCGATTTAAGAAATTAAAGGCTACAATAATTTACTGGTTACTGTTATTGTGTGAGTTAGGGCACCCCCAGTTAGAGTGCGAAGTCATGGTGTTTCTACTAACCAGAAATGTTAAAACTAAATTCGTTATGAGATGGCTAGAAAAAGATATTTTGATGCAGTTTTATTCCGAAAATGAAACATAATTGCAACAACATCTCTGCAGTTAGAGTTGTGCAGATCGAGTATTGTGTGTCAGAATGCAAAGTGAATCAATGCAATTTGTAAAGTGAATTGTAGTAGGTATCGCCCGTATCGGTAAAGGAAATAAAAGATGTGGGTTTTAAAATTTAATGTAGGTTAACTTTAATGGATAATGAATTCTTAAGAGTCTGTGATAACTCGTGTGTGTGACACCAAGCAGTTTAAAAAATCAAACCATTTAACTTAATGTGAAATTATAATACTAAACCAAGTAGACAGAGAAAAACTAACGAACAAAATAAAAATAGGATGAATTAAAACTAAATACCTGTATGAAGGGCTCAACACGTCCTTGTAACTCCTCTACTTGGAAAGATAAATTGTTGAACTTCTCACACGTCAAACAATCTGAAAATGGGACAGATTAAACACAAGTAAGGACACAATTAATTTTCAGATATAAGATCATAGATTGCAAAATTTTATGGATTCTTTGATCACAAGGCGCCCAGCGAAGTGCCGCAAAGAGGTCAATATTTGGGCCTTGCGGGAACAAAGAGACTATTTCATTAATTATTGTATCAACAATTAAAGGCGACACAAACGCTACAAGGACAATATTTAACTTAATTTGAAAAACGAACCAATAATTGGCATATCAATTAACATATGACATCGTGTGCCAGATTTTTTAGGTTACACATCACGAAACACAACACGATACAGAAACATTGAAGGGGTTACAGGGTTTTAGTTTATAGAAACAGTATGGAAATATCTTGAAACAGTCAGTGAGTGTTTTCAACAGATCTGCAATAAAAACAGAGGGTTACCGTCCTGTTGCAGACACACCAACCCTTGTTAAATGAGTTTTAAACAAATCCACAAAAGTCCAGTATCTGACCTGCCTGAGCGCTGACTCTACCGGGCTGGAACACAAACAACCACACACAAAGAGCGACCCCGCAGAGAACCAAGGTAGAGAGAAGAACGCTCAGAAATACTTTTGTACCCTTGTTAGCGAAACATGCTAACATAGCAGTCAGATGGAGGAGGGATGGTTAGAGAGTTTCTTATGGACAGAGCGATAGAGGAGGAGAGAGGAGTCCTTTTACATTTCTAGAGGTGGAATGTTACAGTTTTCTAGTTGGTTACAGTATTCTAGTTGGTCGCGTTATTGTTATTTTCCGTTTAAAATTGCTGGAATATTGATTATGTGTATACCCACACCACATCAATTAATAATATACATGTAAATAATGGTATTTCTGATAATATTATGGTATCAATATTTATAGAGATCCATTTTCATGAGTTATTCTCAAAAACTGAAAATCGTAGGCAAATGTGTTTCAGCTTTTGCAGAAAATTGCAAATCTAACAGCGCCCAAAATAGCTCATGGTTACAAGAAAGCGGAGTAACAAATACGATTAACTTTTTAACATCTGGTCAACACTCAACAACGAGAGGCAAACAAAAAGACCAGCTAGAAAATAATTTGAGTTAAACCAATTTGCCCAGGCCGAGCCCAAAAGAAAGTAGGCATTGGTGGGCATCCAGACCATTGAAATAATAGAACCAGCCACCTGCTAGCTGATGGGCGCGGAACCGTAAAATTCTGTCGAACCTAATTATTTTGACGTCCTTAATTTAAATTGGCGAGACTTCATACCGAAACAGTAACTGAAATGGAAAGGGCGCCGCCAAACCATCGGATCACTCCCAAAACAAACTACATCATTTGTCACGTGACACAGAACAATCAGCACCAGGTTCATCACTGAGTAGACAATTCCTCTGAAACACTGCTCTGAAATCATACGATGCTGGAGGGGAGGCACCTTAAAATGTGCGTCATCTCCCACCAGAAGGCAAGCCCATATTTTGTTTAAATATTCCGAAAAACCATGTGATTATCAAGAACAGGCGAATATCTCATTTCATGTAAGCGACAGTTTTGGTTTGGACGTGATGTTTTCAAAATATCGAGATATTTAGAATTATTAATGACCTAATGCTAGTTTTGTTCCCAAATTCAACAATATAACTTGTGATGAATGGTTAGACATAATGAAAGAGTGCCAGAATAAAATTATGTGTATATACAGTCACAAGACGCTGAATGTTAAAATCACAAGACGCTGAATGTTAAAATCACAAGGCCCTGAATCAGTAACACTGCCACTACAATATATTCTTCAGTACATTTACAGTAATGGGACACAGCAGTTTTAAGACTGATAAGTGTATTTTTGTTTGATAAGTAGTGCTAGTCACTGCTTATCAGCTTTACTAACGAATGTTCATAATTACTTACATGCTACGAATTTTGACTTATCAAATTTTGCCTGCAAATTTTTACTTTGAGTTAATAAATTATGATGATTATATATGAATTTTACTTGATAGAGTGCTTATCTTAAAGTTAAATGTTTTTACAGGCTCTAATGATGTAGTTTTACGAAAATTTCAAGCCTTACGTTGTGTGTTTCCCTTCGTGTCCAAAAGCATTACATTCTTCAGTAACGACTAATAAAGTGAGGGGAATTTAAACATAAGCACGCTCAGGCATTAGAGGAATGATGTTATTTTTAAACGGAACCAAAAAGTGAATAAATTTCGGGACTAGCTAATCCTAGACCAACTTAAAACCGGCCCAATTAATTACATAGTACGCCAGCTCCGGATCTTTCAACACACAGTTATAAGATTTTACAATCCAAATACCAACAAAAGTTCTCAAACTTTTCGTTTTGTGCGGACATAAACTGGTCGGGGGATTGAAGGTTCACTTTGTAACATCCAGACAGGAAATGAGACGAACTCGGTGTACAATTGATGATAGTTATTTAAATAAAAACCAGGTATCAGTAAGCATAAGCCAGTATCAGCCTTAAACGAAAAGAAACGGCCCTCCAACGCAGAAAGAATCAGTTTTTACCGCCTCGGACAGGGGACATACAAAAAATTGCAAACAAATAGCTACCGTCCAATCTCAATAAGATGCGGTTTAAGTAAAATCACTCAAGTCCTTCAAAGATGTCTGTTCTTTTTAGCCCTGAAATCAGCTAACTTTAAATAAATTCTATTATGTTTCTATCCCGCCCGTCCACAGGTCCATGATCTAAAAGTTTAAAACTATCATTAGTCTGAAAAAGAAATTACAGACGCAACCAGCAAAATCCACAATATTCCAAACTCCGCTAGCTATACCCTCACAACAATATTACCAAGCCTGCTGTCTTCCAATAAAGTGGAGACTAGACTCGGCCACTAAAGAACCAAGGAAGCGTAACTAAGATCGGTTAACTGGATGATACTACGAGTCTGTTTAAACACAGACAGCTAGTGTTACAGTGTACTGATATATAGTAGCTAAAGTTGGGGTTGGAGCTAATGTTTCCTGGAGAAGGTTAACGAGTGAGAGAAGTAGTCCTGATAGTTACGTATTAGTGACGTATTGGTGACGTATTGGAGGAGGGTGGTTGGTAACAGGTCGTCTCTAGGGGCCAGGTGTCGGGCGCTACCAATACTTACTAAATTAATTTGTTATTAGTAGAACTGGAAGTAGAAATGTCAATATCGAGTTCCATGAACGCAGATAAACCTGCAATCTTGCAATCTTAACATAAGCGTCAACAACCAATACTAGCCTTTAGAATGAAAACAGAAATTAAACCCGGTACCTACTGCCTATGACGATTGCTCATTTACCAACCAACTTATCACTCGTGAACCTTCCATTATTTTCAATGACGTCATTAACGGATGTGATGATGATGTAACTTCAAACCATTTGTCCACTTCTGATGACAGCATTAAAAAATCCTGTTAACAACCCCCAAATTACATGTAAAAGTGTGACATGTACTGTCTGTTAGCGCTACTTGTGACAATAAGTGATTAAACTTCACACTTTCGTGGTAATGATAGAAGGATCAGAGGATCAAAGGGGTTTCGTTATCGAAACGGACTAATCTTACACAGACTCGTGCATTCCGGGTGGCACTGTCAGGTAAATAGCTAAATTTAATTTAAATTATGATCTAAACAACCATGTGTTCTATTTTTGTAAAAGTTCGTACGTCATTAAATTGTTTGAAATTAGGACGATCTGCAACGATAATCCCTTAATCGCTTGCAGATAAGAGCTGTCGATGTTAACAGAAGATTAACCGCTCAAATAAGTATAACGTCTCATAAAAATGATAATATACTACTAGTATTACTAGGATACTACGAGAATAAGCACAGGTCCAACGAGAGAAAGAGACATATTAGTAGTAGTAGTAGCGACATATTAGCTGCTCTTAATCAACAGTTATTAAATCAGAATTAAGATTATTAATAGATAACATCCCATTCACGTATGTGGGCCTGTCGGAGGAATCGCATCTTCGGAATCCGACGTGTGACCCTGCAATTAACAAGAATTTTGTTATTTGCGAGGGAGCAAATCATCCTGAAATGGATGAGATAATGTCAGATGAAGGCTCGCTATTAGTATTACTGGGACACGGTTTAAAGCCCTGGTCTTAAATTATTTCTTCAGAGCTCTATCACAGGACACAGTACCACATGACATTATCACGTGACATGATCCTCAACTATTTGTCAAGGAGTGACAAAGTATAAATTCTACTCATGACGAATAGTATCAGCCGCACTATAAACAGCATCATTTACGACTCACATTCTGTGTTCAAGTGTTGTTATCAGGGGTTACTATAGTGACTATAAATAGTTTGTAGGTGCAGGAGGACACACCATTACACCATATAACATTTTACCGGGGAGGTGAAGTCTGTTTGGTTGTACATTAATTTACTATCAAAAGTGGATATGGCAGTAGAATCCGGTACCGTAACTTATTTCATCAGCTTATTATAATAATTGAGATCATTTAACGATTGATATGCACCAGCTAAGTGTTTTGATTTATTATTCCTGGCCAAACTAATATAAGGTGTGAAAATAAACGTAATCTACAAACCATCCTACCCGGACCTCAAATAATAACCGTTGGGATCAGTTGGCTGAATTCCACAACACCACAATGACAAACTCCGTTCAGGGTAAGATCACACGATAACCGTCCTATCTGTTCAGCACCCGATAATGCAGGAATTCCCTTGATTATGTGGAGCAGAAAACCCTCCACGAGACATGTTATCAGGCCATGAAGGGGTGACGTAATATACAGAATTGGGGCACATTGCGACGTCGAGTTGTTGAATCGTGGATTGTTCCCTTTTGCAACTCAATAAATTGAAATAGGATTTAAAGCCTAATCGAGGCTCAATATAGTTAAGGATCTAGTAAACGCTTTAGTTTGAAAATAGATTTAACCTAGATTTTGTTAACTTCCCTAACTGTTCACAATAAATCAAATCTTAGGATTACAGCG